GGCTGGGGAAAAGGTCTGGCACCTGGCCAGTGGGGGGGGAGGAAAGCGAAGCACTCGCCCCCCCCAGATTTGTTCAAAATTTGGAACAGGAGTATAATATCAAAATAGCTGAAATAGAGTAATAGGAACAGCAGTTTTGAAGTGCCCTTTAGTTAAGTCTTTAAGGGGGAATCAAAAAACCCAGAGCGGGTCTTTTACGAAGCCAGTGGATCTTGATTGCTTGTTGAAGACCTAACTGGACTCCCCCCAAGATTTGTTCCATCCAGGGGGGGCGCCCAACAATACATTTGAAAATAACTTTAAAAAAAACCATGCAAATGTTATTTTTAGATTTGAGGCATTCCTTCGTTTTAAGGCAAAATGCAAGAATCCGGACCTTAACCAGTTGAATCGAACGTGTTGTTTCCGAGATTGGGAACGTGATGCGAATGGGTTTTGTTACGGCACCTTGATTGTCGAAATCAAACCGAAGCTGGTTTGATTTTGGCGTGAAATTAAACACTTTTGATGGTTCTGGCTTGACCCACCTTGAGGATTCCCGAGACAGCCTACAGAGAGATTTTAAAACAGTTGGAGCAGCGATCATTTATTATAAATTGCTCAAATTTATCTCAAATTGTTGAATGTTTGTTGTGAGATGATCTGTCCTTTTTCCTCCCTAATTTCTCCTCGGAAAACGAAGCTATCCTTCTGATTTGTCCTCGGTTTCCCCCCCGTAGAGATCTTTTGATCTGCGGTGGAGTGTTCATATTTTAATAAATAAAAATGCTAACGAGTTCTGACTGCAATGCTGGAAGAGGGAATCCTCATACTGTGGGCGCTCGCCCTCCCTCCTTGCTTTTGTTAATTAGCGCTTCACTCCCGGCGATTCTAAATGGGTTTCCGTGGTAATCAAAGCCCACCACCAGAGTGCCTTAAAACCTGTGGGTTTATTAACATGGGAGTTGAGATGTCGGGCGAGATGGGGTGGTTGAAGTCATGATGAACATGCGCGGAGAGACGGCTTCGGAGAGGCGCTGTGCGCGTCTCCTGGTTGGCCACGTATCGCCCTTGTTAGCAATCTGGCTGCTGCATTTTGGACCTGCTGAAATGTCCGAACAGTTTCCAAGGGCAGCCCCACGTAGAGTGCATTACAGTAATCCAGCCGGGATGTCATCAAAGCATGCGCCTCCGTGGCCGGATCGGACCTCGCCGGGGATGGGAGAGTGTTTGCTCAGTCATAAATTCCCTTGATTCAATGGGCTGATTCTGGCGGCAGTTTATTAGACTTAAGCGTCAGGATTTCAGTCGCTGGGTGTAATGATCACAGCGAAGTAGCTGCTGGGGCCGTCCATTTCTTCAAACCTGGCCTGACTCCGAGGCAACCTCGCCTGCCCCTTTTTCAATTTCTTGGCTTCGGCGTGGACATTCGCTCTCCTTGTCTAAACAAAGGATGCTACCGCTTATACAAAGCAAGCCTGAACCCATTTGCCAAAGCCAGGGAACTGCTAGGATTTTTCCTGCCCACGGTCAGGAAAAGCCTGACCAGGCAGTGTGGGAAAGGCTCTTCCAGACAATATACACACGTTTGCACAAAGCTAAAATACGCTGTCGCTCCGGAGCCCGGATGTGGCAGAAACAACACCGGCCCATGGAACCCTTTCCTGGCATGCGTCAGAAAACTTTATTTTTGATTCCTCTTGTGCTCGTGGGATTCCCCAGCCGGGCCTGGATTATTGTGCTTTCCTGTTAGGAATGCTGCTTTTGTTTACTGGCTTTTGAGTGTGGCATTTGCTCGATCCGTCTTAGCATTTGTTTACTTATTGGGTTTTTTTAGCTATTAAATATTGTCTTTTAATTATGTCAGACGCCTTGGGTCTCTTTTTAAGTAGAAAGATAGGGTAAAAATATTTAAAATACATACATACATACATACATACATACATACATACATACATACATACATACATACATACATACATACATACATACATACATACATACATACATACATACATACATACATACATACATACAGTATTTTTCGCTCCATAAGATGCACCAATTTTTAAGGAGAAGAAAACAGGAAAATATAATCTGTTTTCCTCGCTCCATAAGACGCACAGACTTTCCACCCCCCTGTTTTGTGGGGGAAAAGTGCGTCTTATGGTGCGAAAAATACGGGTACATACATACATACATACATACATACATACATACATACATACAGACAGACAGACAGACAGACAGACAGACAGACAGACAGACAGACAGATTCAACGGGTTTACTCTAATTGCTGCTTACTGTGTAGTGCAACAGAATTTCAACCAGTGCGTATGCGTGCATCATACAGAATATGAGCAGAACGAAGAAATGTGCACACTTTTCCAGTGCATTAAAAACAAAATTTAAAAAAATCCATTTTTATATTAACAGCATCTTCGTTTTTGGGTTGGTTTGGTGTCCAGCCCCCCCTTTTAAAAAATAGCAGCTCTTAAAAGCGTTGCTTTAAACAATCCCGTCCTGACCGCCCCAAACGAATGAACTGAATGAATGCAAAATGTGCATTCGGCGTTGCTAACCACCGAAATCACAACTTCTAAAACAATTTTTCAGAAGTGAAGAAACGAGAGGCGAGGCGTTAATTGGGAAGGAATTGGAGTGAGGTAGGATCCTTCAGGAGCTTAGATTTATGTATTTTGGTGTGCCAGGCCCACTGCCCCAGCCCTGGAAGTATCCAGGGAAAAAAATTAACTTTTGTTTTTGTTTTTGGTGAACAATGCCGATTTGTCTTTCGCCAACGAGGGCCCCATAAGAGCAAACTCGGCCATCCCTGAGACCATTTCCTGTTTTCTCACAGAAATCACAGCCTATAGGAAATTGGTGCTTAAGATCCAGCTTTGCCTTCTGGAAAACACAGGACTTTTATTTTATTTTAATGTTTAGCGCAGTCTCCCTATGGATTTTCGGGTTTTACCGGGGGAGGGAGGGGAGAGGAGTGAAGTCCATAACAAACAAAATGGGAGCCTTTTTCCGACTTTTAACGGGACGAGTCCTTTTTCCGCCCTCCCGACATGTGAAAGGGACGGAAAGATGGAGGAGAGAAAACCTTAATGATGGAGGTAGAGCCAAGGAAAGGTTGTTTGTTTGTTTGTTTGTTTGCTTGCTTGTTTGTTTGTTTGTTTTATACCCCACCTATCTGGTCGATATGACCACTCTAGGTGCCTTCCAAACACTGTTAGCACCGGACTCAGGGGAAAGAAAAAGGTGTGTACATAAGACAGGAGAGATATATTTAACATGATTTAGATTGTGGATTACAAGACACCCCCCTCTCCAAATAATAATAAAATCGATGGACTAGTTCTCAAGATATTTGGGGTTCAGAGAAAATTGGGTGGTGGGACAGTCGGAGCAGAAATCCTTCCCAAAACCAGTTAAAACAGTTACTAGGCATGGGGTTTGGGGATTTCCAGACCGACAGACCCAATAATTCTCCATTCTGAGACTCGTGACTGTGGCTCGCCCGGGAGAAAGGCTAGGCCTAGTTCCCCCTCACCTGAGCTAAGCCTAGCTCTGCCCAAGCTTTCAGAAAGTTAAGTTCCCAGCTAGCACTGGGGCAGGAAGAGGAAGTTTGGGTGAAGCTAGGCCTAGCTCAGGCGAGGCGGAACTAGGCCTCGCCTTTCTCCCAGGCGAGCCACGTTTATGGGACGATCAGACAGAACTGCCAGAAATGAGAATTATGGCATATATAGTTTTTTTTAATTTTTTTTTCCCCAGAAACCCCATCCTTGCCAGCAGAGGTCCAGTGCCCGCTTCTGATTTTGCCAGTTTGATACTCCCAATAAGTAGCAATGAAAAAGGGGATGGTATTATAAACAATGTTTTTTAGTGTTTGTTCCATCCAGTTTTTTTAAAAAAGACTTGTTCCCCCACCCCTGCAAGAGCAAAGGGGGTGCTCCTGTCTCTCTTCCCTGCTAACTCCTTCTCTTTGGGTTTCTCCCTCCTCCTCCTCCTCCTCCTCCTCGCCCTAGGTGAACCCGCCGGGTTGCTATGGCAACAGGATGCAGCTGCGGCTTTGAAGCCGGCTAGGTGGCTTTAAGTGGGCATCCTTCAAGGGCCGGGTGGGTGACAGGTGGGGCGGGCAGCTCTCGAAAGGGTGCTGGCCGGTGGGTGGGCCAGGCTGGGCTGGCTAGGGGGCTGCGTGGCCAGGATCTCAGCACCTTCTGAGTAAGTCCGGACGAGAGTTTCAGATCCTTGCCTCTGTTAAGCCAGAACTCTGCAGGGCCAGCCCTCTCGTCAACAGAGGCTTGTTATTCTTGCTTGTTTTATGATTTATGAACTCTGCGTTTGCAGTAAAGAGTGAGTAAAGCATGAAGTAACTGCTGGGTAACTCAGTGGCTGAGGTCTCTCTGGCTGCAGAGCTGAAGGTTGTGAGTTTTAATTCCCCGCTGGGCCTCTTTGATAGGAGCTGGACTGGATGATCTATAGGGTCCCCTTCTAGCATTGCAGTTCTAAGATTATTTTTATAGTTTTAACATTAATACTAACATGCATATGTAGAACATATAGGCATACACCATCATCATAATGCTAACATGCTGTCATCTCAGTTTTGATTTATAGTGGCCCTTTTTCAGGGTATTCTAGGTAGAGGATGCCCCGAAGTGGCTTCCCATTTCCCATTTCTTTTGGGGGTGCCCTGGGACGGTCTGGCTGGCCCGAGGCCACCCAGGCTGGTTTTTCTTGAGCCGGTTCATAAACGGAGATCCAGTCCTTGAGATACCATGAAAAACAAAAGTCATCTCGGAGGGCTGGACTGAACGGCTGGCTGGCAAGATGGAACGGTACGTTGTAGAGGCTGATGTGGCGGGCTAAAATTCGCACCCAGAGCCCTCCATGCGGCCACATTTTGCTGCAGAAGATCAGAAATAGGTCACTAAGAGCCGGTTTCAAAACTGCCGGGATTGGTCCCTAACGTGCCCTTTTCTGTTTTTCCTTCCCTCGCTCCTTTGGCCAGCTGTTCGTGATCGACAACGGGGCGGACGACTGGCGGATCGCCATGACCTACGAGCGGATCCTCTACATCAGCTTGGAGATGCTGGTGTGCGCCATCCACCCCATCCCCGGGGAGTACAAATTCTTTTGGACGGCCCGGCTGGCCTTTTCTTACACGCCTTCGCGGGCGGAGGCGGACGTGGACATCATCCTCTCCATCCCCATGTTCCTGCGCCTCTACCTGATCGCCCGGGTCATGTTGTTGCACAGCAAGCTCTTCACGGACGCCTCCTCGCGCAGCATTGGGGCCCTCAACAAGATCAACTTCAACACCCGCTTTGTCATGAAGACGCTCATGACGATCTGCCCCGGGACGGTCCTGCTGGTCTTCAGCATCTCTCTCTGGATCATCGCCGCCTGGACCGTGCGCGTCTGCGAGAGGTGAGTTTCAGCACGGAGGCGCCCCAAAGGCGGTCGGCCTGGGTTTGGTGGAAAATCACCCTCTAAACCCACTGTAGAGTGGATCAAAAATCAATGATCTTCTTCTGTGGGTTAAAATCTCGTTCTTTAATTTTTTTAAAAAAATCGGACGAAAAATTGTTCCTTTTCAAAAAAAAATCTGAACGGCCCTTTTTCAGTGTTTGTTTCAAGGTTTGATTTTTCATTTTTTTAAAACATTCAATTGGAAATTTGGAATTTAAAAAAAAAATCCTTTATTTGGATCCACCCTGCCATAATTTGAACCAAGGGTGATTTATATCAATTTGATTTAAATGAAATCCACCGTAGTTTGCATATGTAGCCGTCATTAACATGAAAGAGACATGAAAGATTTTGCACCCGGGAAGACGAGATTTGCGTAATCTCTCTAGAGTAAGAGGAAATCCTGGACGGATTACGCAAATCAAAGAAAAATTAGTCAGAACAGGTACTATACTATTGCACTCCCAATAAAACAGCTTTCTAGACTGATCCATCTATGATGGAGGCAGCTTCAGATCCACAGTGGAGGTAGGCTGAGCTTCCTGGGGGCTCCTGTAGACATCCAGCGCCTCCATGTGAGTAGACCAAGCCTCTGGAGGGCTCCTCGGTCCCAAATGCTGGTAAACAGGACCCCCAGAGAGCTTGCTGCAGACTTTCAGGTCCCTGATGGGGGTACACTGGACCCCCCAGAGGGCTCCTGGAGATCCCCCTCTCTATGCGGGTAGACTGGACACCCCCTGGAAAAGCTCCTGAAAACCTGGATCCTTGATAAGGGTAGACGGGGGCCTTCAGAGGGCTCCTTCAGCTCCCCGATGGAAGTAGACCGGACCTCCAGAGAACTCAAGAATTTTGCTTCCTCTAATGGGTGTAGATTGGGCTTCCACAGGGTTCCTGGAGAATTTCAGCTCCCCAGTAGTGGTAGACCATCCGTCCGTCCGTCCATCCGTCCGTCCGTCCATCCATCCATCCATCCATCCATCCATCCATCCATCCATCCATCCATCCATCCATCCATCCATCCATCCATCCATCCATCCATCCACTGACTCATCCATCCATCCATCCATCCATCCATCCATCCATCCATCCATCCACTGACTCATCCATCCATCCATCCATCCATCCATCCATCCATCCATCCATCCATTAGCTAGTTACCTATCTGCTTGTCTTAGCTATCCATCTGCCCATCTGTTAGTCTGTTTATCTGTCCACTGATCTATTGATGCGTTTATCTAGTGGTGCATAATAATAATAATTGGATGGATGGATGGATTTGATTTATGTACCTCCCATCCAATCGAGGGCCGCTTTGGGCAGTTCACAATGTAAGACGACAAACAATCAGGAAAACCTCAAACCTAGACCATAAACCAAGGATCAACATTAAGATACAGTATATAACAAATATTAGCATAATAGAACATCATAACATGCACCAAACATTTGAATATTTAAATGCCTAATATCATCATCTCAGAGAACGGCAGAGCTGGAAGGGACCCTCGGGGTCATCCAGTCCAGCCCCTGACAAGGAGGCCCAGTGGGGGGGGGATTCGAACTCCAAACTTGCTTCCATGAGGATCAACATGCCTTCAGCATTGGTCCTCTGCGGTTTTTCACCCGATCTTGTGGGCCTTGGAAGGCTGGGCGGAGGCCAACTCCAGTGCGCTTCTGCCTTTTGCAGAAATGGTTTGTATCCCAGCTCGGGACCCAACCCTGCGTCTCGTGATCAATCAGGGGTGTCGGTCTCTGGAGCCAGAGGTGGGGAGTTCGAATCTCCGCTGTGCCTCCCTGACAGGGACGGGAGGTGATGATCCACAGGGTTCCTCCCAGCTCTGCCGTTCTCAGATGATGATGATGATGATGATTCTCCCAATGCCCTGTGAATTCACACGTTACTTAGGAAATAGTGGGTTGGGAGCCGGCGTTGGCTGAAGGCAAGATGGTCTCTGGAGCCAGAGGTGGGGAGTTCGAATCTCCGCTGTGCCTCCCTGACAGGGACGGGAGGTGATGATCCACAGGGTTCCTCCCAGCTCTGCCGTTCTCAGATGATGATGATGATGATGATTCTCCCAATGCCCTGTGAATTCACACGTTACTTAGGAAATAGTGGGTTGGGAGCCGGCGTTGGCTGAAGGCAAGATGGGTTTTCATCTGGATGATGAGGATTCTCCCAGTGCCCTGTGAATTCACACGTTACTTAGCAAATAGTGGGTTTGGAGCCGGCGTTGGCTGAAGGCAAGATGGGTTTTCATCTACACACACAGAGAGAGACACACACAATCCGCTTGTTTTGGGAGATGCATTAATTAGAAAGAGAATCGTGTGTGTGTATGTGTGTGTTGTGATGTAGGTGGGACTCCCTGGCGACCAGGGAAAGCGCAGGATCTGGCGGTGTGATGGAAGGTTTTCAGCCACCGCACGAGCATGGCGCAGGGCGGTGAGAAGAGACGGAGAGGTGGCCCCCGAGGTGCGTGGGCAGCGATGATGATGAATCCTTTCGCTGCGGTTTCACCTAAAGATTAACTCTTTTCTAAGCAGGGTGTCAAGATGCTGGAGGAACCGCTCCGGATAGCGACAGGGCATGGAGGGGCAAAGCCCTGGGACCTTCTGAACCATCATCATCTGCCACTCCCTCTAGCGTCCCGCTTCCCTTTTTGAACCCAGCCGCAACCCCCACAATGCTGGGGCAGAAAGGGATTTTCCCGGAGCCATGTCTGGGCTGCGATTTCGTCCCTTGTTACAACGAGCGTCGGTCCACTGAATCAATGGAACTCCCAGAGGAGATGATGAATCGGATCCTCGCTGATTCAGTGGTCCACCTCCGGCTGGGACTCGCAACCGGATTTCAGCCACGGGCCCAAACTCTGCTTGCTGTGACGCCATGCGAGGGAGGGCGGATTGGTTTTAAAGGAGCAACGAAGAGCCGTTAGCTTTACAAAAGACCCGCTCCTCGTTTGGGAAGATGGGTCCATCTTGTTACCTGCATTTTGGGCTCTCCTTGGGTGGTGGCCGGCTACGGGGACTGTCCCCATGGGTGCATTCTTGCTGTACCACTGGTTTTGTGGGGGGGGGGATAATGCGAAGCCTTCTGAGGCTACACAGGGCATCAAAATACAGTTTTGGTCAAAAGCCGCATCGCCTGAGCATAAAAGTTAATATACCAGGAAGAAATGTGTTTTATATCCCCCCCCCCCAAGAAATCTTTCTGGTTGCTTTCAATGCCAAAGTGTGCGGCGTGGGAGGCATTATTCTTCAAGAAGGAGGATGATGATGATGATGGATCAAAAAGAACTGGGCCTGGCACTCAGCCACCCATGAGCCTTCCATTCTTTTCTTCTGTGTATCTGGGGGGGTCTCTTACCTACGAAAGAACACACACACACCGAGACCAGGAGGAAAACCTGCGTTAGGCGATAAATCTCACATTTTTGGCCGCGGAGGGCTCAGCGTTTTAGCAAGCGCCAATGGTGTGGTGAGGGGAGGGTGCTTTTGAGCATGCGTGGAGTGCGAATGAGCCACTCTCTGCCCCCTCCGGCCTCCGGCGGGTGGGCTAGACCTCCCGCCCTTCGTAAGAGGGAAGCCAGAATGAGCTCCTTTTTTTTTTTTTCATGTATGGTCAATTTGATGCCATTTTCCAGGAAAAGAAATGCTGATTTTTCTCAGCGCATTCTACTGGGAACGGTTCTGTCTCTGTCAAGAGCGCCCTCTCCGCCTCTCTGCTATTCATGCTTCCGATGGAGATGTTTTTGGAGATAATGAGGGCTTTACCAATTCAAAGCAGCTCCTTCCTCCCGAGAGGTTTTGACCCTGACCTGGCCCGCCTATCTAAACTCAGGGAATTATAACAAAGCCGCTTTCTCTTTTGAGGTATATATATATATATTAAAGGCTGGCTTAGCAGTTCCATGCTGTCTGTTGTCAAGATGTTTCTACCTGTCAGGCGAGGCATTTTTATGTTATTTTTTTGGCTTTCCTCCCCATTTCACTGAGTACCTCCCTCTTTCTCTCTCTCAATCTCTCTCTCTCACACACACACACAAGACCCAGTTTTAAATGCCTTAAAGGACCCAGTTTTGCCCCGCTGCAGCATTCTGTATCACTCTGCATCTTGCTTATTTTAAAGAAGCGCTCTGTGCTGTTCAGAAACTGACATATGTCAGGAGGCACAGTGGGGGAATCGAACTCCCAACCAGCCAGAGACCTCAGCCACTGAGCCATTCCACTGAGTACCTCTCTGTCTCTCTCTCTCTCTCTCTCTCTCTATAAATCTGATGCAGCATTGTTCTAAATATAGTTCTGAGCAGCCCACTATAGCCCCTGCAAAGCAAGGTTTTGACATTGTCCCCGGCCGTCTGGCTCTACAGCCAGAGACCTCGACCCCTGAGCCATCCAGCAAAGTCTCCAGGACTTTAGTCCGGTGGAAAAATCAAAACCACCGCCTTGCATCCCTCCCACCCCACCCTCTGGGCCTTAGCCTGGTTTAAAAAGAAAAAAAAACATTGCAGAGGGGATGATTTTGAAGGTTTAATCAAGCAGCTGCCTGCCTCCCCAACCCACACAGGGTGGAAATAAGGCTTCTCCGAGGGCCATATTTCAACCGAGCAAATGGAAGGCCAGGTTTGTGCCTCGGTGTTGTGGGCTTTTATCGTATTTCACTTTTATTCCCCTCTGTTTCATTAATCTCTCCATCTGCAGGAGACTCTGGGATGAAATTATATAGGGGTGTGTGATTTTTTCTTTTTTGAGGGGGTGGCTTTGGGAAAACGGAGCCAAAACTAGAGGGATATTAATAATATTAATATTAATGATGATGGTGGTGGTGGTGTTTTTTTGGTTAAAACTTGTATCTGTTATATAATACCAGTCAAATTTTTTTTATAATTTTGATTGACTGCGCCTGGTGTTTTTTGAATAATAATAGTACTACTTTTTCCTTTGTAAGCGATTCGTGGAGAGACTGAAAGTGGGGAGGGTCTAAAATCCAACGGCTATACATTTTTTGTGAAAGCAAAGAGGTTTTTAACTTAACGTATAATCTTAAAATGGCAGAGCTGGAATAGGACCCTGTGGATCATCTAGTCCAGCCCCTATCAAGGGAAGCCCAGTGGGGAGATTCGAACTCTCAACTTCAAACCATTAAGGTATGGGATAAGGAGGGTTTGGGACTCAGCCTTCTGAGGTCTTTTGTAGCTCTGAAAAATCGGGGAAAAGCTGGCTGGTAGATTTTTCCCCCCATGGATCTACGAAATTGGGGCAGAAAAGAAAGGCATCTCAAACTGTCAGGGTGAAAAAGACAGTGTGGTGTCATGGTTAGTGTTTGGAACTGGGTCTTGATAGATCCCGGTTCTGGTTTGCCATTGATAATATAATAATTAGGGTTAATTATTTGGGTAGTGATTACTCCTGATTTTTTTTTCCTTTAAGAAGTCATGGAGGGAGACTTTTATGGCCATTTTTTGCTTTTCAAGCATCCACACACCCACAGAGAAAGTAGAAATTATCTAACAAATAACTAATATAATGAGCCGTGGTTGCAAACACGTTGCTCTGTTTTTAAAAGCAAGAGTTACAAAGCGGAGCCGTTGACTGACTTCCACGGGGGCGGGGAATCCATCCCGGGTTTTAACCGGAACATTTAAAAAAAGCTATCCAATAGAGGCTTAGTACCCTTGGACGGCTCTTGTAAATGTTAGATGGAAACCCTGGCATGGACTCAGAGCTGCTTCAGAAAGGAAGCCACCAGCTTCTCCTGCAGCCAAGCAACAGATTGACACATAACTTTCCCAGCTTTGCTGTTGCTTGAGGTAGACTTCGCTGGGGGCTAGAGGTTCTTAGTGCGTCCTTGAGCCTGAAACTCTCCCTGGAGGCAAAAATGTCGAAGCGGAGGCTGTCCCGCTTTGCGAATCTCATGACAGGAAGGTAGGATTCTCTCTGGAAAAGACAAGGAGGGGAGAAAGCAGGAAAAGAGGAAGGCCCAACGCAAGATGGACACACTCTCTAAAAGAAGCCACAAGGCTGAGTTTTCAGGAGCTGAGCAGGGCTGTGGAAAACTGGAATTTTGAAAGGGTCACCATGAGTCGGAAGTGATTTGACGGGAAATAACAACAAAGCTTTTTCCTGATATATTAACGTAAGCCCTGTGCGTTCATTTCTCAACGCCAGTCCCTGTTCTTCCTCGGCAGGTACCACGACCAGCAAGACGTGACCAGCAACTTCCTGGGAGCCATGTGGCTGATCTCCATCACGTTCCTCTCCATCGGCTACGGCGACATGGTCCCTCACACGTACTGCGGGAAAGGCGTCTGCCTCCTTACGGGCATCATGGTGAGGAGAGGCTCTGGAGGGGTGGGCCCGGGTGAACGCGGGACGGCTCGGTTGGGCGGGAGGGCTCGGAAGCGGCTCGTTACACCTAACGAAGTTACCTGCAGTGTGTCATTTTGGAGAGTGAACGAGGGTGTGCGTATAATATATATACACACTTTTTATCCATGAACATCACAGCCCATAATATCATGGTTTGAGAACGTAACACATATGTGTTATGCTTAAAATGTGAAGGTATATGAGGTTCCTTTCCTGTTTTGGAAAAATTATCGAGGTCCCTTTTGGTAAACCCAAGGAACTGGGGAAAAAAGGTTATGACTAGCCTACCACCAATGGGATACTGAAATATCCGCCTGGGGGGGGTCAGGTTTGGCCGTGCTGGGGGGTCCGCTCCGGATTCGAGTCTGCACTTGATGAGAGGTGCCGAAGAAGAAGCCCGTTTCCAAAATGCCTTCAACGCATTGGGGGGCTCTCGGAAAGTATGGAGTAAAACCCGGGGTGGATTTTCAGCATCCCTGAAATTGGAGTCACCAGCCCCAGCCGTGAAGACAGAGTCACTCAGGTTACATGTTGGGAAAGTGGGAAGCAGTGCTGAGTCGGTTTCTTTATTAAATCGTGTATTTCCTAGACAGAGAGAGAGATTTTATCCGGATGTTTTACTGACTGGCTTCTTTTCTCCGCATCCACGGTCTTATGGTATCATATCCACGGCAGTTTATGGCTCAGGAAAGTGTTCTACAGGGTTTTACTCTTGAGGAGTCATATACGTATATATATAGAATTGATCTGGATTTGATGTACAGTGGTGCCTCTCTAGACAGTTACCCCGCATGACAGTTTTTTCACTAGACATTGGCTTTTTGCGATCGCTATAGCGATTCGCGAAACAGTGATTCCTATGGGGGGATTTCGCTGGACAATGTTTGGTCCCTGCTTCGCAAACTGATTTTCGCTAGACGACGATTTTGACAGCTCCCTTCGCGCTCGCAAGCAGGTGTTTTTGGGACCTAAGCTTCGCAAGACAGCGATTTAAACAGCTGATTGGTGGTTCGCAAAGCGTCTTTCCTATGGCCGAGCTTCGCTAGGCAACAACGATTCTTCCCCATTGGAACGCATTAAACAGGTTTCAATGCATTCCAATGGGGAAATGCTTTTCGCTGGACAATGATTTCGCTAAACAGCGATTTCAGTGGAACGGTTTATTATCGTCTAGTGAGGCACCACTGTATCTCCGAGCCATCCGATTGCAATTCCTCCGCGTTGGTTAGAGTTTTGGGTGCTGCGGGCCAGATTCTTCCAGATGGCCGCCAGTTGCCGACCACGGTTCTAAAAATTAGAATCGCGGCTTTCCCGGAGAAGGACCCTTTTTCTGCTTGGGATCGGAGGGATTTCTCTCCCACTCTGCTTGCCCACCAAGGTTTCCAGGGATTCCCCCCCCCCTCTCTTGGCCGCTCAGCCGGCACGCCCCCTGTTTTCCCCGGTCAGGGAATGTAACGGCCTTCATTTCATTGTGATAAGAAGGCCAGGTCTCGTTCTTTTCGGTTGTTATGGTGACCGGGAAAGTCAGAGGTCCGTTGCTTAGGAGGAGCTGGGCGCCAGGAGGTGCGTGTCGAAGGGAGGGAAGGAGAGATGCTCAGGAAAAAGTACGGGCATTTTGTATTTTTTAAATAAAAATATAAAACGTTGAGCTGCCAAGTCGGGTCTTCGAGACCAACCCTCGGCGCTCCCCGTACCAGCTTCTTGGCTCAACCTTTCTCCAGCTTTTCTCTAGCGCCACTGCCCGATCCCTTCGTAACCACAATACAATGATCATCCGAGCTAGAAGGGGACCCCTGGGGATCATCTAGTCCAGCCCCTGTCAAGGAGGCCCAGTGGGGGTGGTGGATTCGAACTCCCAGCTTCTGGCTCCACAATGAATCTTGAGGGCTAGTAGAATAGCCCATCCAGAAAGGGTGGAAGCTTCTGGACATCCAGGACAACCTCCCCTCAAGATTACAGCTTGCCCCGTAAAGAACCAGGTTCCTAGTGGAGAGAATCCAACAAAGAGTGCTTTGGGCTAATCCGGGAGTAGAGCCTCCCGATCCAGGGGCAGTCTACCTCTCCACACCGGTGGCTGACGGCGGAGTGCCTGGAAGGGGGGGCGCTGTTGTCCTCCAGCCCTCCCGGCGACCTTCTCGCAAACATCTGGCAGGCCCGCTGTGAGAAACAGGATGTTGGAATCTGGATCGTTCCATCCACGGATCCAATTTGGCCCTCGGGTTGCCGGTTCCAGCCTCTCCTGAACCGTCCCAGATGTTCCCAGGATTCCAGAAGACAGCTGGGGAGCTTCTCCATTCCCCCCGCGTCCGCCCATAACACTAATCCAAGTGGCTTCCATATTAAAATCTCCCCCCTTCTTTCCCATCGCTGGTATGTTTATCTTTGGCTAAATGGATTGGCTTCGCTGGGCTGCCCCCGTCCCCGGGCACGTATACAACACCGTTAAAAGAGCCTTTTCCAGTTCTTGCTGACACTTCACATCTGGAAAGACCTTTCCTTGCTCCATTTATTTCCCCAAAGCTGGACCGGCGACCCAGCAAGGAGGCAAACCTTCTGTGTCTTGACAGAGAAAGCCTGGAAATGTAAATTCTATTTATTTTCCCACGCTTCCTACCTGGAGTTTCTCTTGCCAACACTGCTTCTGCCCTGTAACCCACTAGTGGGTGATGTTCGTCCCCTCCCAAATTCACTGGAACCACGAGGTGTACAGATTGACAGATTTTCACCACCTCGGCGTATCAGCCACTATGGTTTCATAGTAAGACCCTTTCTTGGCTTCCATTACCCCAAAACTGTGGCTTCTTTTTGTGAACCGATCCATCGCATGTCTACTTCTTCTCTTCTCCTACTGCCTTCCATTTCCCCCCATCTTTTCTGGCGAGTCAGCCTCCGTCAAGGCATTTTATCTTCTTGGGGGAGGCCTCCGGGCTTCTTTTTGGGCCGTCCGTCGCATCCGTAAAGCTCTCCTCCGACACTACCTTTCAAATGAATCGCTTTTGGCTTCTCAGCTCTCCTCATTATCCAGCTGTCGCATCTGAATGCAACGTTATGTAAACCACCCTGAAATGGCACAGCAGGGTGGAGACAGCTTCCTATATTTCTATTTAAACCAGGCCTTTGATTCAGAACGCCTTGCTTCTTATTTTAGTTTCTGGGGAAAGAATCGCAGCGCAGAAGGAGGGCGCCTGCGTTGCATGCAAAAGATCGCCAATCCGATCCGCGGCATTGCTTAATAGGGCTTATCAAGAATCCTGAACAGGCAATGCCAGACAGAGCTGGCCCCAAGGGATCTGTGGGTATGGCTTGGTATAATTTGCCTTCTGTTGCTAAAGGATAGCCAAGGTGGTTTCTGTCTCCGAGAAGGCTGGGGAAGACCTAGATTTTCTCAGATCAACACAATGGCATTCAAAATCCTACTCATTCAAGGAGCAACGCCATGGAGATCCCTTGTGTAGGACATCATGGGGCAGCTTTACGAGGTTCCTCATCGTTTTGCCTCTCTTCCCTCCCTGAATTCCAAAAAAACCAAACAAATCAATGTTCTTTCTTTGGAAGGGGACCCAGGACTGCCTGGAAACAACATTTTGTTCCTTCTCTCTTTCTCGGGAGGTCTTACAAGACCCATCAATCCGAGACCCGTGGAAATTTCCACTCGATTTACGAGCGCTTTGGCGCCGCAACATCTCTCCCAGCTGCGGAGGAGGAAGTTCATTAAATCAGCAACACAAAACAATACCGGTGTGTCCTCCGGGGTACATGTCAGACCAGCTCCTGGAAAGCCATAGATAATCGTTTGAAAGCAACAGGGAGAAAGAAAGAAAGAAAAAAAGGCGCTCGTCAAACATTTCACCTGATTGGCTTTTAGTTCATAGCGATGTAACACTGACGTTTTTATGTTTTTATTTTTTTACATTGATTGGGTGGATCATAATTTCTTTCTGTTGTTCCGGAGGTGGATCTCATTGCTTCAGTAGCTCAAATATCTCCATCCGTTCACAATGTGACAGCATCAACAGCCGGGAACTTAAGGTTGGCAGAAGTTGAGAAAAATCTTAATTTAAGGGGAATCCCCCAAAATTGGACATGGCCCCAAAGGGCACCAGAAGGAAACAGGGTGCTTAACATCCCCAGATGTTGGATGCTGGAAGGGGCAGAAAATCAAGCAGCAAAAGGAGGACTTGAATTCTCAACCAACTCATAATCGGTTGCACGCCCGGCGAACTGATTTAAAACTGCTTTGATCAAGTTATTTGAAAAAAAATTGGGGGTCAGGTTATGAAACGTGCACTGTTTGGGACCCCGAAAAAAACTTTGTTTATTTAAAATATTTCTCTCCCACTGTTCTCCCTAAAAGGACCCAAGCAGGATGGGTTCTGTTTTTAAGGAGGCCTTCTTTTGCTTTTCCGATACGGAGTGCATCTTTTAAGCGGCATGTTCTGTCTAAAATCAAATCGAACTTCTAAAAAAAGGAACATTTTAAGCTAATGATCCTTATACAGGCTTAAAATGAATGAGTAAACTTTTCACAAAAGCTGAGGACTCCGGTTTTAAGAAGAGGCATCCTTTTGCTTTTGGAGACAGCATACCTCTTTTTTTAAAGAGGCCAATCCCTAGAAAAGCCGGTCAAACATCAAAACACAAAGCGTTTTAGGTTATTCATCTTTACACTGTTTTTTTTTTCAGCCGATTCACCTCTCTGTGTTTCCTTCTGTCCAATGTGAGAAGGGATATCTGTTCATGGTTAGGATTCACACACACACCCTTCTAAACAAATCAATAAAGCATTTTAGCCACCTGATGCTTTATTAAGGGCACGGGAACGAATTTTAATGAGTGTTTCTTTCAGCGCAAGGCCGAGAAGCCACCCTTTGACGAACCAAAAGTTCTCTTAATTTAGAAATGTTTACGAGCGGCTTTGAAGGAGAAACTCTTTCTCCCCGTGTATTTTCAACGGTACCCAG